ACTAAAACAGAATTACGGTACACGGACACGGTGGCAATGGCCCTAACAGGAACGCAAGCAACAAAGATTGAATTAATTAGGGGTAGCTACGGGAAATCAAATGCAGTAAAAGCAAAGCAATTCCACCCTTATAATTACGGAAAAGAACGGATCAAAAGCGTACCTTTAAATTTGTCAGTATGGTGACGGATAAAAATGCAAAACGTACGCGAGTACAGCGATCAATTTCCAAAAACTGATCTTACGTTTCAGTAATCTCACTTAAAAACCAAAAAAATATAAATGTCAGGATCGCCAAGAGAGAATGCCGGCCACAGAACACTTGATGTTGGTTGTCGGTCTACAATCGTATGTTTTTGATATAGTCTAAGATACGGTATAAGAAATATATGCCCTGATCTGTAATTTGAAAATGACAAAGATTATATGTTAAAGAACAGGTACATTGATAAATCACAAATGGGTTGCCTAGCTAAATCACGGGCCTCTTTAACATACTTTTTGTTACCAACTTCGTCGACTGAAGTGGAGGAATATTTTGTTCCTTGTCCTACAGTATTAGGTTGCCTTTTGAAAAATGTGGCACACCTATGGTTGTCTAGATTTTTAATCCTTAGTTTTATAGCCCACTCAACGAAGGAAAAATAGAGGAAATAATTCGTGTAAAAGTGAATTCTGGTATAGTTGTAGGTGAAGGTGTCTTACACAACATACTAAAAGTAATGACGGATGCAGGTGGAGCTAACGGGTAAGGGGGGTCCAACGGTCCTTTTTTTAGTTTTTTGTAAATAACTCGTAAACGGTGGCCCATAGCAAAAAATATCCGTACACTTAAGTAATCTACATAAAATTCTCCATACAAAAGGTTATATACACTTTTTCGCAGGGATCAATATTTAAAAAGATCTTTAAGGGAGGAAAGTTAATTATAATCAATTCTACGCAAAATGAATGTCCTAGTTGTGTAGTAGCAAATGATGGAGGTTTTTATTTTTAGGAGAATACATACTTAATTTATTTTTTTTTTGGATCCGTCTTCTTCCCTCCATACCTATTACCTATATCATGAAATATTGATCCCAGCGAAAAAACGTATAGAATCTTTTATATAGAGAATTTTATGTAGGTTACTTAAGTATAAGAATATTTTTGCTATGAGCCACCGTTTACGAGTTAGTAAAAAAAAAGACCTTTGAATCCCCCCTCATCCGTTAGGTCCACCCCCATCTGTCAGTACTTTTGGTATGTTGTTTAAGACAACTTCACCTATAATAGAACTCAAAATTCACTTTTACACCAATATTTCTTCTATTTTTCCTTCCATGAGTGGGATATACTAAGGATTACAAATCCGGACAACCATAGGTGTGTCACATTTTTCAAAAGGCTAATACTGTTGGACAGGGAATAAAATAACCTTCCAATTCATAGAAAAATCAATTAAATAACTGATGGAGGGTATATCGATAACGCCTGTTACCTGTTTGTACCTGGTAACTTTATAGTATAGTTGTACTAAAGAAAAAGTAGGCAACCTATATTTTTCCAATTCCTCTTGTAGTGTTCTCTTGAGTAATTTGCATAAATAACAATTCGGCAAAGTTGATCAAAAAAAGTATGTTAAAGTTAATATCAGTTAACAGTATAGGCCCGTGATTTAGCTACGCAACCCATCTGTGATTTACCAATGTATACCTGTTTTCTAACATACATATAATCTTTGTCATTTTCAAATAAAACATGAGGTTATATATTTCTAATATCGTATACTAGTAAACCATACTATTGTAGACCGACCAGTGGCGTAACTTCATTTTAGGGGCCCTTACACATAATTTTCGAACCAGGGACCCTTAGCACCACAGTTCAGCTTTAACTGAACTGCGCCACACGGGCCGACAATTGTCAAGTTTTATCTAACATTTGTGCCATAACAAAAGGTAATGCAAGTAGGTACTTAATTCTAATTGCAATTCTTACCTTAAGATTACCGTATCCAAGACCTTCAGATACCGTCTAGACTGGAGAAGTTTCCGCTAAATAATAAAGTATTTCATGTACTTTATATAAGAGACTTGGGAATATTATTTTTCACAAATGAAAAAGCAGTGCAGTTGCTACTTTTGAGTATATCAGATTTCGTAATTAGATTAAAGTCAGATTAACAGTTAACTGTGGTGGAATCGAACGAAATGTGTGTTCATTGTTCACTAGTGAAGTATGTATACACAAAATAGCCAATCCGTAAATAACCAAATTTGGTCTGTAAGTAGGTAAAGTGAATACAATAAAAATAACTTTTTAAAATACTAAATAATCAGCAAAAAATTGTGCACTGTGCAGTACATAGAATACACTGTAAAAGAAAGCATGTGCATAGCCCTTCGTAAATAAAATATTAGTCAGAATTTACATTACGCATTTTCCCGAACGTTTTATCTCCTCCTTTAGTAAAGCAAAACATATGTAAATAATTAATGAAAGCATAACATTGAAGAAAAATTTTCAATTTTTTAAAATTGTTTATAAACGCATTACATTTTTTGTACATTTCTTGTCGCGACCCGTCCTCATTGCGTACCTTTGAGGCATTGTAGTTACGCCACTGAGACCGGCTTCGGGTCTTCTGTGAGCGGCGTTCTCTCTTGGTGAGCACGCAAATTGCAACTAAGTAGGTGTTTCTTCTGCGGATCAATAAATGGAATTTCCACACACATCATGGCGGGCACTATAGAGGGAGCACTAAGTTATTTAGGGTGGGCATGTGTCCACCTAGACCCATCCTTGCCTACGTGCCTGGGTATACCTGTAGGTCGGTATACACTTACCCAAGTATGTAGCTATATATAGGTACTAGCTAGAGGTAGAAAAATCCATATCCGCATCAGGAAGATTATTCGTGGTGACCACTGACCACCCTCCGGAGGGGCGGACCGAGGCCTCGGGGGGCCCTGGGCTAATATTTGTAGGGGGCCCCCTACTTAATGAATTTCGGGTTATCGAAAAATATCTTCATTTCAATTTTATTATTTTTTCAGAAAATTATTATTAAAATTACAGGTCTAAAGCAAACTCACTAAGTTTAAATACAATGAAAAATATTGAAATACAGTAGGGTTCAAATTTCAAAAAGCACAGATTACACAGAAACAGTGAAGCTCGATCTGCACACAGCGGCAGGCGAAAAACCACTGATTTTTTTAACCATTTTTATTACAAAATAAGTTTCCCGTGGTAGGTACTAATTGCAACAATTCTTTTTTTATTTATAAATTATAAAGATAAACAAATAATAAATCAAATAAATTAAAAATTATAAGAAAACAAAAGAAAACAATAAAATAGAAAAAAAATAAAAAGAAAAAACAAAAGAAAAAAGAGAATAAAAAAAATACAAACAAATATGGCGCCCAAGCCATAAATAATAAAACGTCAGCGGTGTTCTATTCAGCATTAATTATAATGCAAGCAAATTTTCAAGTTCAACAAATGAGATAACGAATGTTGGCTGGGGAAAATATTGAACATTTAAATTCTGATACACGCTCCAATTACTCGTACTTTGGGGTGGGTAGCGTACAATAATTGTCTGCACGGTCATTCCATGAAAATAGAATAGAGTTTTCTCTATGTATTAAAGGAATTTTTTGAAAGAAATTCCTTTATGTGATGGTTTTGTCCGTCCGTCTGTTCCTCGTCTAACTCGAGCATCAAAAGAAACAGCGCAAAACTTCTCCAATCAACGAGTTCCTACGAGTTCAAGGATCAGTGCTTTTGAATATGAGTCGCATTAAAAGTTGCGTTTCCGAATGCGAGCTAAGTATCAAACAATTCCCATACTGAAAACGTATACGATGCTTCGTATCTTATTTTTCTTTTGGACCTCGGATTGCACGGAACGTCACATTACCGCGTGGTCGGCATGGGGCAGCAGGGGCCCTGGGCTGCAGCCTTTAAAGCCCCTGCCTAAATCCGCCCCTAAACCCTCGCTTGGTTCTCTTATAGAGGCGAGTGTGAGAAAAAAATTTAAACATCTACTCAAAAACACTTCGACTAACTTTTTACTAAGAAAAACCTATATTGTGGTATACCTACATTGATTCTAGTGTAGGTAGGTAATGTACCTATACAACGCGAGTTATAGGTACCTACTTCCTCCAAAGGCACCAAGGGTTAATGCTATAGGGAGAAATCCACTTGTATGTATGGGTACTTGTCCATCTCATAGAAGTGTAAAAGACATTAATTAACTTACTGAACTTGTTATTCTCTACCTACCATCTATTGAAGATACTTATCTATGTATATAGGCATATATAATACCTATAGATAGGTAGGTAGGTAATATAATAAAATTTTTTGATTTGCAATAAAAGTTAATACCTGCATAGTTAGAAAAATCTTGCTCCATATTGATTTAAATAGGTAATAGTTGTCCAGGTGATCAAAGACCTACTAATTTAAAAATTGAAAATATTTCAATTGCAGTCAATCAATTAAACTAATAAGTTAAAAGGTACACGACTGTGTGTAAGGGGAAAATATAATGAGACGAAGAACAAAGGCTAATTTAGAGTTGTAAATAAGGGGTTCAGCAAAAAATAAGTAAACATCAATAAGCTCGGAAGATAACTACACCTCCTCAAGTTTGTAATTAAGTTATAATAATTTGAAAGGCTATTTTAATAGGTCCATAAAAGAGTACAAGCACTTAAATCTGTAGTTATAATAATAACAAAACACTAAAACAGTATGAGCAAAAGAAAGGGAGACGATGGGCCAGTCCGTTCGTTGGCTTTAATTGTGTTTTAAAAAGGAGTCTTTGGGATTATCCACTTGAGTGCACATTTCCCTATTCAGAATCGTCCAAAATGATTGGTGGAAATGAAATAGAATCTTTCAGGAAAGGCGTGTTTATGTACAGGAGCCACCTTTCAGCACGCCCATTTCTACAGGCGCCGGGATAACAAGCTGTTGGTCAGTTGTATTTTGGTAGTCTTACTAACTGGACCGAGGTTTTAACAGTGTTTTACGGTTCCCTAAAACTGAGCAGAAATATTCGTGAATCGGTTACGGTCAGCTGAAAAATGAGGTGTTTTGTACGTGTTTCATTGTGCCAGTAACGTATGCGTAACAGACGTGGATAAATTTAGAATCTTCATGCTTAAGAAACAAACTGATAGTGTACAAAGCATGACTATCCAAAGTATAGACAGTTTGAACACAAAAAACGCGGAAACTATGCAGAGCCTAAGTGAAAAGTCGCAAAATCAGCAACAGCAACAGACTGCGAGTAAAAACGGACATATTAGTTTTAGTGTAGCTTCACTTCTTGCTGACACAAGGCCGGCGAAATCAACGTCGCCCGAATCACACCCAAATTCCTCGCTAAGTCCACAGCACCATTCATCGGACGATGACTACGATTCTAATCAAGAAGACTCAATAGTCGACGTAGAGGATTTAAATTGTACAGACCAAAAATCTGACAGCCTTTCCAAAGATAGCGAACACTTTTTACGGCAATCGCAACGCGAAAGGGCGGAATTCCAAAGAGATGGTATGGTTAATCAAGGACCCATACGGCCGACGCCGTTTTCAGCGCTTGCCGCCGCTGTCTATCAGGCGGCTCATCCCAATTGGGCCGCGCAAGGATTGGTAACCCCATTCGGCGGTCCTGGACCCATGTTTCAAGGACCTACTCCTTTCGGGGTGCCGACAATAACCGCAGGTATTTAAAGCATAACCCTTTTTTCTCCTTTTACGTAATTATAAACTGATGGCTCTTAATAACATGGTTATTACAGTATATTTAATTTTAAGTGATTTATTAGGGTTGAAAATTAATGGTGTTATAATGCTCTAGCACCTTTTTAATTTTCTTTTCTAAATTAGTATTAGTCGACGGCGGCGGACACGATTTCGCCATTTTCACAAAATACCCTCGGTCGATTTACCGCGGCATGCACTTCCGTAATCGATAAGATACCCCGCTTATTTCACTTATATGTAAACAAATATTATGAAAACAAGAACGCTTTGTATACCCGCCCCATGCGGTTTTGCAATTTATATTCGGAAGCAAGCGAGAACAAAGCCATTACGGGTATCCACAAAATAAATTAAAAATTTGAGACGGTAACAAAACTAGGTATGGCGAGAAGTTGGATTTCGTCACCTTTCCGAAAATTGCCGTACTTATTACTGGCCCGTTTGCAAAACGACGAATTGAAAATGCCAATTTCGTAGGTAGATAAGTGGTTTTGTTTCTCCTTTTGCAAGTCCTCCTTTCAACCTACTGCATGAAACAAAACAACCCATGAGGAACAAATTAATGTTACAACATATAATTATTGCGTAATGGTTTTGTGAACTTTTACCTATCAGATCGTCGAGCATAAAGCAAAACTATTGTAGACACTACAAATATGCCTAGGTTTACTTTTTTGAAGGCATTTAGAAAGGTAGAAGTATAATTGTAGAAGGTGTAAATTACGTAGCTATAGATAATGTCATTAAACAAATGAAATTTCAAATTGCACGAGCAAGTTTATCGTTATTGTTACACTACGATGAATGATCCATAAAATAGATGGACGTTTAGATAAATTAATGGTATTTGCAATTAGTAGCGTTTGCAAATAAATTAGGTATGTGCAATTCTCCTTTGGCGTGAATTGTAAAGCTATTGGGATAATTAATTTATTGCATTTAGCATTTTTATGAGAAAATTATACGGTTATTATACTTATATTATCCGAGCCACTCTGCACAACTGACACAATGTTGAATAATTTTTCACTGCACTTATGAAGAGCTACATAAAAACTGTTAGGTAATTTTCCATTACAACACTGATGGTGATTGATGGAGATAATTCAAATAGGTACATTAGTTTGATGATGGTCTTCCTCTTCAAATTAACCGTAGGATATTGTGCCGATATGGCTGATGATTTCCTGCAATTCTGGTTGCATTTGTGGCAAACAAATTACCTAGTTCAAATGTTCAAGTGTATTGTATAAGTAAATGTTAGGTCCCATAAAGAACGGGATACAAATTTGTATGTTGTATTTCGTGGTACAATTCAGTTTTGAAAGAAAAAGTATGACTTGAAGTCAAACTCGCACCCAAACTAGGTACCTACACAATGCGATCAAAGTCAATTGGAAAGACTGTTTCCTTCTGATGGAAGGTATTAACGATTCTGGTAAATGTTTACCATATACTTTGTCAACAGATGTGAATGTAGGCCCAAAATTTGGTATCTTTCTTGGTGAGTCAAAACGGTTGTACTATTTTTCTAGAATATTTTGTGGTTTTCATTATTTGTAAACTATTCCTGATTTGAATATAATTCATTTCTGTATCACAGATTCCGAACAAACTTATAAGAGATCAATGGACCATTATAGCTATTTATTCAATAGTCATGAAGACTCTAAAGAATGAGAGCGACATATTCTTCAGTATTGTTTAACTTGGGGCCATGACCATTGATTGTGACCCGATTTTAGCAACAATTCGTTGTTAATAATTAATTCAAAAAACATATTACTATTCTATTAACTCATACATACCTATACCTACCATACCCAATTAGGTACAGCAGATACCCACGTAATTGTTTAAAATTTATCTAAACCATTCATTAACAATAATAAAAAATGAATCACTTGCTCGTTGAATCCTGTCGGATTTTTTAAACATATTCTAGCTGGGTGTGGACTAGGTATACAATATGGGGTGAATTAGGATTCATGCATCCTACCTATTTTTGGGTTGGCTCCACTCCACTACCTGATCAAAGGCAATAAAAAATTACCAATTCTAAGATAGGATATCTATCACACAAATATCTACCCATTTTGAAATTTTTTGGAAATTTAAAGTCAGAATGGATTTTTTTAAAGAAAGGGCGATGTTCGCAGTTGTCGGGGACGAAAATGTTGGACAATCGTATCTCGGGAATATTATTTTCTCCATTTAATCAAAGCTGAATAATAACGAATGGTATGTCCGATAGTGTACTAATTTTTAAACTTTGATAGGAAATTTTGACTTAGGCTCCTCAAGGCATAAATGAATTTGCACTCATCAAAATTGATATAATTAACCAACAAATGAATTCAGTAGCAAAATACAGCTACAATACCATTACTATTGCAAACGTAACGGTAATTAAAATGACGGTTTTAATTTTAACACTTTAATTGCATCAAACAAAAACCATTATACCTACAAGAGCAAACGCAAAGTGTGCCTGAAAACATGGCAGAGATTAGCGCCAACTATTCCCCGTGGAAATGAAGCTTTTCCTTTTTGTGGGAAATTAGTTTTTTACCTATTTGAAAAACCGGCCCAGGCAAAACACGAAGGAGCATCGAAATATTTTTGTTTTTATTGAGAATTGACCTGCGTCACTTTACTGAAATCTCTCTCGATGGGAGTCATACCTTTAAGAAAAATTGTTACTTCAACATCGAAATTAAACCTATAGTAACTTCAGATAGCCGTATCTTCTTATATTATAGGTATAGGTACGATTTTTAGCCAATCTTGCACAGGATTGGTTAAATGATAATATGGTTCGGATTCGGTTTAAAAAATAATAATGTAGTTCGGTTCAAGGTTTGTTGCAGAATGCAAACCGAATCTCGAACCTTGTAGTACCTCCCAAGTAATATATAAGTTATTGATGAGCACCACATCCAGAATACGTACATTTGACTATACGTCATCCGTAAAAATTCTTATTGTTTAAGTTATTTAAGCGTTAAATAATGTATTTAAATAATTGAATTGGACCCTCAACCAAATCTAATTCGTGTAATTTCTGACTGATCATTCCCGACCTCTCTATATTAATGCACTTCCTTTTACCTTTGTCATGCTTTGTAAAGTGAATCAAGTCAACGAAAAAGATTATAAGAATAATATACATAAGCTTGTAACAATTATAGCAAACGAGCTCCTGGGTCACTGAAAATTTAATCAGTTCTTCCTATGGTGATGAATGATGATAAACACAATACTGAAAACTGAATTGGAAAATTCTAAACGTTTGCGAGTTATCATGTACACAGACGGACGAACAGAAAGTCCAAATGTGCAAAATTTAATCTATAATTGGAAAATTCGAAACCGCTCGGGAATTATTAACAATTCGTAAGTAGGTATTGGATTTTGACTGGATTACTGATAGTTGTTCGTTATTTTCGAAATAAATCATTAGGAAGCGAAAGCCTTTAGGCTGACATGCTTCTTTGTAACATCATACTTTCTGTCTGTCAGTTTGCGACTACAGTAACACGCTCACCCGAGAACGGAGACAAATTCTTGATTGTGTTTTCGACAGAAGATTATTATGGGTAATAGCAAAGGTTGAGACGCATTTGAGTATACGTCGAGCCATTTTTACCATTGCGGTAAAAAAGAATCAATACAAAAAAACAAAAAAGAAATACACGTTTTGAAGCATCGGGAATCCGAATCAAACAAAATCCCGATGATATGATCGGTCTGTCGGTTTGTCTGTCTCATTTCCGGCTAAAGGGCTGAACCGATTTACACCAAATTTGGTGCACATATTGATAGACATAAAAGGAAAGGCTGAAAAGCTTTTGGATAGAATCGGACATGCGCAAGTGTGTCCAACTATCATTTGCGGCTAAACGGCCGAACCGGTTGGAACCAAATTTGGTACACATAGGTATACATACTCTTACACATAACGGGTGGTATCTGTGCTAGCCACAGTAAATTTTTGGATTACGTATTCGGCTATGCTTCTACATTAACTATTTATAGTAAAATACTACTAGTAATGAAAACAACTGCAGTTTGTTTAAAGCACTATTTTATTTAGAAGTGAAGCAATAAACGATTTATATTTATATTATATTTTCCTCAGAACTCGCACCAATTTCCGCATCATATGGCGGTGTGAGGTGTGAATTGACGTTTCCGAACGTTTTTTTGAAAATCCGTGTCATTGCGCCATCCTGTATAGTGTATACCATACACCTACAATAAGGATCTGTTTTTTGACTGTTTAGTACAATTAAATTTTGATAAATTAGTTGCCAAATTTGCATCAATAAATTTAGATTTGGTATTCATATATTCAGACATCCCCTCCCTCAAAATATCTCAACAAATAGCATTTCAGTACTCTTTTCGTTCTAAAAATTACTGCTGCTGTATAGGAATGAGCCACTTTTACTTTGCCAGCTGGGTATGGATAAACAAGTCGTACCACCTGCCAGATCTACAAATCAATGCACTTCGGAGTAAAATTAAAAATGTTTGTTGGCACAATTTAAAGGGTCAGTGTGGTTTCAATTATAATTTATTAGTTCGGTTACTTGTATAATCAACATTATGATTTCTAGACTTCTTTTATGTATTGGATCATGTTATAATACAAGAAATTTAACTGGCACATGAAAGGACCACTCCATGAAACGTAGGTGACATTTGTCATTGTGATCTAATTTTGTATTGTTTGTACCATGTAATTCTGCAAACTATTAAATTTTTGTAAAATTACGGTTGCTATAGCCCTTAATTGTATTAAGTGAGTACATAATGTTTCTTACTATGCACCTCGTTCAAAAAGAATAACCTCTTGTGCTTGAATTAAACTATGAATTAGATTAGTAATTAGTAAGATAACTGTAAATGGTATTGGATATTATTTTAATAATTTGAGGTTCTAAATGGAACCTT